AGCAACGGCGGCAGCATGCCTGGACACACGCACAGGGGGCCCCCGCTGCAGCGATTATGCACCAGCTGTGGGGCCCTTTAACTTGGGATTGAAGCAATCTGCGCGGCTGCGCGACGGGGGCGGCACAACGCGAAGAGAACCCAGACCACCTGCTAGAAGGCGAAGGCCAGGAAGATCGCCTTCATGGGCGCGGCAATTGATGCACGGGCTTCCGCACTGCGAAGCTATGCCCCCGGCGCCTCAAGTTCGGGCGTCACTCTGCGGAGTGGCCATGTGGGCCAAGGTCGACGACGGCAAAGGAGGCGTGCGTGAAGTGATCCGGACACAACCAGCGATAGGCACGTGACGCAAACTCTTGGTGGCACCGACTGGCACCGAGCTACGTTCAACGTATCAAGGAGTGGCAGGCTGCAGTTGGGCGACCCGACCGACGCAAGCAGCAGATCTCGGCCGTCTTCGGAGAATTCGAGATGGAGCTGAGGAAAAACGCGCGGTTCCCAGCGGCAGCGGCGACCCCGCGTTCCACGGCGGGCACGCATTCATGGGCTGTGCAGTTCAAGGAGGACACCGAGCACGCGGAGGCAACAGATGTGGGCGAGCAGATACTCGACATGCTGGGAGGCGACTACTTCGGCCTCTTCGACCACGGGAGCGACGCGGACCAGACCTGCCTGATCCTGGGCGCGCGTCAGTTCGGAACGCACTGCCAACGCACGCGAGACACCGCGAACGTCGTGGAGCCCTCCGAGCCCAGAGAGAGCGCCATCGGAGATTTTGAATGCGAGCTGGGCGACTGCGAGGGGTTGCCTCGTGGAAAAAGATCCTCATCACGTCGGGCCCTCCTCGCTCATCGTCGACAGGCGGAATGGGGCGCAGCGCAATGGAAAAACAACTTCGGGGTTATTGCCACTGCGAGCCAACACCTGGCATCACAATCAATACTCAGACATCCTCAAAGAGCATTGAGACACCCGCGCAATCTATATAGGCACGGTCGATGTCGCGCCGACTCTTCGCCCGACAATCACGCCCTTGTCGAAACGGACACGCGGCGCCCGTTATGCCCCGATTTGGAGCCATGCAAGAGGTTCGGGGACCCGCACTGGCACCTGGCGGACCGCCGCTGGCAACCGTTGCTTGGTTTGAAGTGGGGCGCGCAGTTCGCGCCACGCCAGTGCCAAGATGGGCGCGCCGTTCGAACAGGCCCCCCGCAGCCATGGAGTTCGAGGAGAAGGACGGCCGAGGAGGTCGACGCAAACGAAGGGCCGCCGCAGCCGGCGCCGCAGCTGTCGAGCGCCGAGCACCTTGGAGCAGGGACCCACACGCGCGAAGGATAGCTGTGATGAGAAGATGCCCGATTGGGTGATGAACCAGGTCGGCAGTGGCGGGCGGTGCCAGACGGAGAACGTCAGCATGAGCAGGGTGAGTGAGGACCGCCGCACCGTCCCTCTAGAGCATGACCCTCCACCTCCTCCCCTCCTCCTCCTCCTCCTCTTCCTCCTCCTCCTCCACCTCCCATGCGACCCCCCCCTTCCGACCCCGAACAGATTAAGGGGCATGTTTGGAGTCTGGGTTCGAGATCCCTGTCAGTCACATGCGGTATCCAATCTCGCAAAATTCTTCGAAACGCTCTACGGGTTCGCCCGGATAGAGTTGCTAGTACAACCTGCCAAATGCCCCACCTCTGTTGCTTCCCCCGTTTTTCTCCTTTCGTCCTCCTGTTCTCCTCGCCTCTGGTTTCCGTCCCCTTTGGTATGTGTGTGGGGGGGGGCGGTTGGCTGTTTGGCTTCGGTTCAGTAGCCTACGTCGCCGATTGGGTGGGCTGGAGGCGCCCCAAACTCTCGGCTGCCAGGTCGGCCATAGGGTGAAGCATGCCACCTACGAAGACTTGCCCTTGTCCTTCCCCTCCTTCTCCTTCGCCTCCTTCGTCCCACACGATTCACGCCCAACGATCATCGCGAAATGACCAGCGCTGCCCGAATGGCGGTTGAGTTCATTGTCCGCTACGGCACAGCCGTCCCGTGATAGCGGCTGCGTCCATAGGGCTGTCTTCTGAGGAGTTGGGCCATCTCTTCCTCCGCATCCTCCTCTTCCTCCTCCCTGCCATGATCGGCTTAGGACGAGCCGAAGAGTACCAACTGTCAGGCTGCGAAAGTTATTGGGCACCTCCTGTAGAAACCTCCCAGCCTTCCACGTCTTCCACAAACCGACAGATCATGTGCCGATCTCGGCGCGTCGCTCATACAGAGAAGCTGCACGAATTTCTGGCGCTGCACGTTTGGCGTTTGGCGCCGAGTTTGGTCATCAGGAGCCCACCCTCTGGCTAAGTCGACTCCTCCTCCCTCCCCCCCTCGTCGTCTTCCTGGTCCGTGTCATCCTGCCGGTCCTGTTCCTCCAGTAATGTCCCATGCTGGCGTCACGGAGGACATAAAAAAACGGTATTGCGACGGAAGAGAGAAGTTTTCAGGCGGTTTGGGCCCGAGCGACGGTAATGATACATTACGACGCGCGACATCACACGACCAAGACAACAACACCATTACGACATCAACGACACAAGGTGGTTACACGCAACTATGATGATGGCCCTCGCGTAAGCTTGCCTGTTGCAGCATTCGAAAGGTATGGCCTCACGCGCCATGTCCACACGGGCGTGGGCACATGCGCCTCGCCGCATGTACCTGGACCTGCGCCTGGCTCGACGGCTCCTTACTCCTGCTCATGTGCTTCATCATTGCGTTACTCACAGGCCCCTCGCTCCTGGTCCGGCACTTCTCGACCGATTCCTTCGTCTGTTTTTTTGATTGCGTTTACAATCATTCGTAACATTATTACAGTTATTGATAAACTTAATATTATGAGTGTCGAAGTTTTGTGTTCCGCTTCAGCCTGCTCCTAATCCTCCTCCTCCTCCTCCGCCTCCTCCTCCTGATGTTCCTCCTCCTATATTCCTCCTCCTCCTGATGTTCCTCCTCCTGCTCCTCCTCCTCCTCCTCCTCCTCCTCTTCCTCCTCCTCCTCCATTCTTCCTGCATCCGCGATCATCATACACAGACATGCCGAACACCCCGCTGCAGGGGCGCGCACGCAGAGGCCCACGCTCTGACGAGCGCAGGTTGGCTAGCGGACTGGTGGCCCGGCCCTTCTGCCAGCGACGGCTGTGCGCACAAGCCCTGCATACGGAGACGAGGTTTATGATGTTCCAGCCTGCTTTAGCCTTGATCACCAGACAGAATTCCGAGCGCCAGAAACATACCCCAAAACTCGAGGGTTTTCGCATGTCGGGCCCTGGGGGACACTGTTTGGACACTCGTTCGAAACTCTTTCGACACTTATCCAGGTGCTCGAAATTATGTCTGGGATGTGGTCCTTAAGTACGATGGGAGCAGCATGCGACGAGGCGCGGACGGAGGTGCAAGCCCGTGGATCCAATGCGCTCAGATCCCAGCCCCGCGCCACGGCACAGCGCGGGCCAGCGCTGGACAGCGTCATAATCACAGTAGGGGGCAAAAGGGGGCACGGAGAGGAGGAAGCCTAGCAACAACGACCAGGGTGACGACGAGTAGGGATGGCAGGCACCTTGCCACCACTTGGCGGTTCGTCGAGGCGACTGGGGAGGACAACGGCGGCTCGGGGCGACGGGGAGACGATTGCAAGGAGACTGGTGGCGTGGACGCCCCTCCAACCTCGCGGCTCCGCCTGCGAGGGGCATGTGGTACACGTCGCACGGCGGCATCGAGCTGCCGAAGCCAGAGCACGGGACACCCTCGCCGACCTGCCATGAAGCTCGAACGAGGGGACAGGTGTGCAGGAGCGCCCGCGTGCGCTTGATCGGCAGACGGCCCTGGCTCGAAGGGGCCGCGAGACGTCGGCTCGTTGCCGCGGAGCGGGAGCCAGGGAGGGAGGCATCGCTCGGGCGTGTGCATTGTTTCTCGGAGGGGACCATCGTGGAGCATCTTGGATCATCGTGCGCAAAAAATAAACGCACGAAACCGACAACATGCACGGGAAATGGACGTCCGAGCGATGGCGAGATGTGCGCCCACGCCATACCTGACAGCCTTCCCCTCCCATCCCTTCCTTCCCACAGCGCTGAATCCTCTTGTATCCGCCGATTGGGGTGTCCTAGGGGACATTGGATCCTCGAGTTCAGGCCGGGGGAGGCTTTGCACCTTGGAAGAGGAGGAAGAGGAGGAGGAGGAGGAGGAGGAGGAGGAAGAGCAGGAGGAGGAGGAGAAGGAGGAGGAGGCGGAGGAGGAAGGGGCGATCGAGCAAAAGGATAAGCAGAATCGGCAATATCAACAGATCGGCCGATGTCGACCGATCAGGCCCCACTCCTCCCTCCTCCCTCCTCCCTCCTCCCTGGGCCTGCCTCTCATCCTCCTCGACGTCGGCATGCTTCGGTCGGGTCGCTTGGACGTCGAGGCGCGGGGATGGTGGGTCCGACGTTCTGGTCGTGGTGTCTGCGGCGCAACATCTCGGGAACCCCATGTCGTCCCGTCCACGGCAAAAAGCAACTATCAGGACTGCCCCCGCCTTTGCATCCCCATCCCACGTCATGTCGGCTCGAGGCTTCGCGCCCTCCTCATACGGTCGGGAACTTCTGGATAGCGTGTCGCTCCGCTTGTTCTGGCCCGCTGCGTTTCGGCGCGGCACGCTGTCCAATTCCCCATGCCCAGGCGACAGAATCCCGAGCATGTCAGGGCTTCCCGCCCAGCGGAGCGGAGCGACACGCTATCCGCTTGCAGCGCACAGCGTGTCGCCGGGGCCGCCGCGGCGACACGCTGAGCAAAAGTTCCAAGGACCCGCGCCCTTTGGTGAAGTCGGGCCTGTCCCTCTACAGGAGGAATACTCAAAAGTATTCAAACAATAGTCGAGGGACCATGTTTGGACTATTTGTGAAAAATGTTTCTGGTCTTTTTCACTGTTCGTCCAGAATCCCCCTGTAGGGGGACAGGCCCGACCTATCCTTTGGTCCCTCGTGCCACGGAGCTGTGCGCGATGGAGGCCGCAGTTGCCGAGGCGCGGCGGCAGGTGGCCGCGCTGCAGCGCGGGGCGCCGGCCGAGGCGCAGGCGGCCGGCAGGCGCTTGGCGGAGCTGCAGCAGGGCAGGGACGCCGTGCCGCTGTGCGCCGTGCTGCTGCGCGCCGCGCTTTCGGCGGGATCGACGATCGACGCTCGATCCATACAGTCAGGGCGCTGAAGTAAAGAACAGTTTGGGTACGAGAGGGACTCGATGCTTCTCAGGTCATTGTGTGGTTGTTCCTGTGGCACGCCTCGCGCACGCTGGCGCTGTTGGGGCTAGAAACGGAAGGAGGGTCGTTCCTTGTTGACCGTTTCTTCTTTCAGCGGCCCGACTGTACCCCTGCTTCTGCTCCCCATTCTGCGCGCCAGGGGGAGCAGGGCATGGACAAAAACCACGTGGCCTCGGAAGCCAGGACTTGATGCATATTCCCGCTCTGGCGCGGGGGCACGGATAAAACATGTCGATCGCCCAGGAGACCACCCCGCGGCCTTCTTCGCGGCGCAGACGCTCGCCACACGTGCCCGGCTCTGCGGCGACGCTGAGCGCGCCGCGTGGGCGCCGGTGGCGAGGGAGTTGCTGACGATCCTTGCCACCGCCGCGCGCGCGCCGCCCAGCGGCGCCGCCGTCCTCGCGGTGCCAACGTTGCGCCAGCTGTGTGCAGCGCTGGCACGCTTGTGCGCGCAGCTTGCCGACGAGTGGCCCGATGCAGTCGACAGCGCGTTGTCGCAGCTCGGCGAGGTGTCCAACACTGGGCCACTGCTGGAAGTGTTGCAGGCCCTCGCAGAGGAACCATTTAGCCGTCGGCTACTCGTGGATGGTGCTCGTCGAAGCCGTTTCTTGTTGGCCTTTCGTGGAAAGGTGGGCGCCGTCCTGGGCGCCGTCGGGGCGGCCGCCCGTGCGCAGCCGGGCGCGCCGGCGCTGCGCTGCGCGTCAGCTTGGCTAAGGGCTCAGCCATTCTTCGAAGAATGGTTGCCGATGGTGGGTTTCGATGCCGCTGGTGGCTCTGGCGAGCACGTGGCGTTGGGCCTGCTGGCTCCGGTGTTTGCGCCCCCAGCGGTGGCGGCCGCGCGCCTAGAGTTCGGGCTGGAGGCCTTCGAGGCCGCGGCCGAGCTCGTGGAGGCTGCGCTGCCGCTGGCTGGCAGCCTGGCGGCCGAGGCTGGCGCCAGCGCAGTGGTGCTGCTGCTCGAGGCTTTCTGCGCCACGTGCGCTCGGCTGGCGGGCGGCGTGGCTGGCGACGGGAACACGACTGGCCTCCCCGAAGTCGCGGGGGCCCTCCTGACCGTGCAGCACGCCGCGTTCTCATCCGAGGCTGCGCTGCTGCACGGCCACCTGCGCACCCGACTGCTGACCATGGGCGCAACCTTGCTGGCCTTCGCTGGCCCCGGGAGCGGAGGTGGCTTGGGGCCGCACGCCATCGATTGTGAAGGCGGTGCACTCGGCCGTGCTTTGGATGCATGGGAGGCACCAGCTGCCCCGCGCCAGGCAGACGGCGACGATTTCCAGGCGCCGTTGGCAGCTCAGCCGCCGGACCTTGCGGGAGCTCTAGACGAAACCTTCGCGCAGTTGTTGGCGTCGCTTCCGCAGGCGTTGGCGCTGTCACCAGCGCTGCGGGCGGCACCAGAGGAGTGCGACCTGTCCCAGCTGCGCAGCAGGGTGTCGCAATTGCTGATCGTCTGGTGCGACGCGAACAGTAAGCGCACAGCTGCTCTGCTGGCTCTACTCACGGGCCTCTGCGGTCGCCTGCAGCCGCTGGACAGCGGCCTGACTGGCGGTGGCCTGAGCACCCCCACGGCCTGCGCAGAGCTAGAGCTGGTGCTCACCCTGGCCACGGCGGCTGCGGAGGTCTTGGCCAGCTCAGGCGAGGTGCACCAGCTCCCGGAGCCCCTTCCTCAGCTGTGCGCCGGGCTACCGTTGATGCCGCTGGGCGCTGCGCCTGCGCCGTGGGCACGGCTGCTAGAAGCATCGGCAGCCGAGCTGGTCGCCGCGCTGGACCCTTGGATCCGACCAGATCGTGGCCCCCCGTCCGAGAGCAGCCGTAAGCTGGTCTCTTTGGCCTTTCGCCTGGCAAGCAGCCAGCATGCTGGAGGCTCCGCCGTGGATGCGCTCGCCGTGGTGGTGTCGAACCTTGCGGAGCAGCTGGCGGCAGACAGCCAGACAGCCGAGGAGTGTTTCGCGCGCCTGCGCGAGATCTGCCTCGGCAGCGGTGGTCTCCCGTTCAGCCTGCGGGAGCGGCTTGTGACGTCTGCTGTGGGTCCGCTGCTGTCGAGCCTCCCCGAGCAGCAGCTGGCGCTGGCCGTCGAGGCTTTGGCCGCGCCGCTTCGCGCGGCGTCGCCACCCTCTTGCGCCCCAGGACCGCCAACGCCCGATTCAGTTGCGGCCTCGCGACTGCTGTTCCACGTGCTGGCGGCGCCGCAGCCCCCGCAGGCGGATGTCCGACTGGAGTGGTTGTCCAAGCACTGGCAGTGGTTTGAGGCGGCCCTGGTGCCCCCTGCAGCAGTGGAGCAGACGATCGAGGCAGCGTGCCACCTGCTGACCACGACACTCTCCGCTGGCCGTGGCTCCACCGCCTTCGAGGGTGCGCTGCACAGAGCCTGCCCGCTGCTGGTGGATGCGGCAGCAGGGCGTGGCAGCGTAGCGGCGCTCTCTGCACTCACCTTCACAGTGAGAGTCTCGAAGGGCGGCGGCACCAATGCCGCGCTCGCTTGCGAGTTAGCCGCGCAAGCCGCCACGGTTGCGGAGCGATTATTGGGCGGCGTAGGCCACAGTGCGGAGCAGTTGCCGCCCGACCTGTTTGCGACGCTGCTGGAGCTGTTCACTGTGGCCCTCGCGCCACGTTGCAAGTTGCTGTCGCTGCACCTGCTCTCCACAGGTGCCGCGCTGGGTGCATTGGTCGCCTCGACATTATCAGCGCTGCCCTCTTTCACGAGTCCCCGCATCGTCTGCTGGGGCCTGCTTCTGTGCGAGCGCCTGCCGCAGTGGCTGCAGCAGGCGGAGTTCCAGCCGCACGCCCAGAACTTGGTCAGCGGCATCCTCCCTGCGTTTGCATCGTCCACGTGTGGGCTCTTGGCAGGCTCTCCGGTCGCGCAAGATTCCCAGGTACGCGAGGCGCTCGCCAAGGCCTTGCTGGCCATGTTCCGTGCCGCGCCGGCTGCCGTGCTGGGTGCCTTGGGAGAGGCTATGGGTGCCATCGCGGTCCCAGCGGAGGAGCGCGAGCTGTTCTTGCAGCAGCTCGGCGATCAGGGAAAGAAGAGAGGCACAGACTCAAACACACGCGCAGCACATCAGAGTGACGGGGCCGAACGGTCTTACACCATGCCTCGTGGCCTGGATGATGTTTGTCTGTGATTGTTTGTTATTTGTTGGGTCTTCGATTCCTGAAGAATAATTATTGTTGTTCCGCCCTCTGGTGCCCACTGCGTTTTCCAATTGAAGTGCCCCCACCGAGGCTCTCACCTTGTAACTTATCAGGGAGAATCGTCGGTCTCCTACTGTGCCCCTGGTCCACGGCTTACAACAACAGTAGCAACAGCAATGACAACAACCATCAGGTTTAATGTGGTTCGCTCTTATCTGCTCGCGGGTCATTCAACACGTATATCCAAAACCCTCGATACCCACCCTCTTTGTCTTTGATTGTATCTCATCGCGAGTGTGTGTATATATACATATATATATATATAAACTGCAACGTGTATGTCGTGTAGCCCCTAAGGCAGGGGAAGAGTGGACGGATGGAAGGAAGGGACAAGGAAGACAGAGGAGGATGGAGCACGAGAGAGAGAGAGAGAGTAGCAGGAGGGGGCTAGGAGCAGAAAACACGTGGCAGAACCAGACGGGCAGATCGGGCCGGTAGACCCTAACAGGCGGGCCCATGCGGCCAGGTCAAGCAGGCGGGTTACTGAAGCGTGCATCCTGCATGAATCGCGAGGACATCTTGAGCGAAAGCGCGATTCCAAAAGTAAATCTCGTGAGGGGATCCAGAGCGCGAGCGTGAGTCCTGAGTGTCGAGGGCGCAGCGCCTGAATAAATTGCGAGGAAATGTCGGGCGAGAGCGCGATTCTTCTATAACATGTAAGGAAAAGTCCCTGGCGAGAGCGCGATTCTTCAATACATTACAAGAAAGTGTCGGGCGGGAGCCGTTGTTGTTGTAAACCGGGGGGGCCAGGGACACAGTTTGAGCAGGAATATTTTCCGCGGTAGAAACACAGCGAGTTTTGGGAGGGGCACTTCAAGTGAAAAACCCACATGTCATGCGAATGCGTGAGTCCTGCATTATTCGCAAGGAAGTCTCGGGCGAGAGAGCGATCCCTAAGTAAATTATGCGGAAGTCCCAGGCGAGAGCGCGAGTCCTGAATGGCGGGGGCGTGGCGCGGGAATAAATTGCGAGGAAGTCACAGGCGAGAGCGCGAGTTTTGGACAAATTGGAAGGAAATCCATAGCGAGAGCGCGATTCCTGAGTCAAATGCAAGGAAGTATCAGGCGGGAGCCGTTGTTGTTGTTGTAGTCTGGGGGCCCGGGGCGCAGTTTGAGCAGGCAGATTTCCCCTAATAAACGAGAGTGCGAGCCCAGGGAAGGGCACTTGAATTGAAAAAATAAATGTGTTACCGGAGGGGGTAATCAACAGTGATTATTTGTTTAGTAATGACAGTTCAACAACAAGAACAACAACGATAACATCTCCCGCTTATATCATCTGGTGAATGATTCAGAATCGCGCTCCCGCGAGGGACATCCTCACAATGTATTCACGAATCGCGCTTTCGCTCAGGACTTTCTTGCAGTTCATTCAGGCGCCACGCCATTGACGCCCAGTAGTCGCGCTCTTGCACGAGACATTTTCACAATTTACTCAGTGCTCGTGTCCTCGTCTGGGGAGTCCTATTAAATTGCAAAGTTCGCTTCAATGTCCCGCCCGACCGACCCGCCCGCTAGGGCCCGCCTGCCCGACCAGCCCGTTGAAGTCCCCCGCCCCGCTTGCCCGTTAGGGTCCACTCCTTCGCCTGCTCGATGCCCGCCCACCCGCTTCAGTGTTTCGCCCGGCCCGCTCGCTGGGGCCCGCCCGCCTAAAATCCGCCCGTCCTTTTTGTCTGGCAGGGTCCGCTCGTCCTGTTGGTTGGAAGCCCTCCCGCCCTTTTGAACGCCCCGCCCGCCGGACCCGCCCGTGAGGGCCCGCCCACCCGACCCGCCAGCTAGGGCCGGTCCAGTCCACGCAGCCATCAGGGCTCGTTTGCTGAAATTTCGGTTCCTTCCTTCCCCTCCAGCTACATCTCCTCCGTCTTCAATCCTCCTCTCCCTCTTGCCCCCCTCCTTCCTCGTTTCCTCCTCCTCCTCCTCCATTCCTCGCTCTCTCCCTTTCCCTTTTCCCCCTTCCTCCTCCCCCCTTTTCTCTTCCTGTTATAGGTGTGGGTGGGGTGAACTGGTTGAGCAGGATGAGGGACGATGCGAAAGGAAAGTCTGGCAACTGATGACGTCCTCAGGACTTGGGAATCCAAATGTTGCACCGTTCTTAGAAACGGCACCAGCTTGCATGCTTCCTTGCTTGCTCGGCGCTTGTCAGCGCTGTCCCTTCGTTGATTCCGGGCCCTGCTTCCTCCTCGGTCGGTCCCTCCGCTGGCGTGGTCGGTCTCCTGTGGCCCTCGCTTTCGTCTCTCGGGCCCTCGTTCGGTCTCCGCACGTTGCCTCGTGCGCTCTGGGAGCTAGCGCTTGACTTTAGCCCGCGGCCAAATGAAATAAGAATCCTCGTCCTCCTCCACCACTTCCTCCTCCTTCTCCTCCTCCTCCTCCTTCTCCTCCTATGTTGGAGGCCGAGCAACTACATGTGGCAGGCAAGGGACATATATACCCCCAAACGGGGTCGACCGAAGACGAAGAGGACGGGTATCGAGGGTCTGGGATAGATTCGTTGGTTGGCACGCGAGCAACGAAGAGCGAACAGTCTTAGCATGAGTGTTGGTGTTGTTTGTTGTCGACATCATCGCCCGCGACCCACCCCGCGACCCACCTGGCGATCCACCCCGCGACCCACCCGCGACCCACCCTCGTTGCTTTAACGAAAAAAACGGCGCATGCGGCGGGCCCTATGTGCAATGCATTTCACATATCAGCGCATGCTGCGGGCTCCTTCACAGCCTCGCAGACTGCCGACGACCCCGCCACCCCCTCACCCTTATCCACAATTGCGGGGTGCAGGAAATGATCTGGCGCATGAGACAATGTCGTTGCGCCCAAAACAGTTGCCGCCGATGAGTGGGGCAGCCCTGTAAAACCAAGGGTACCTGAGTTTGCTCTCAACGCCTGGCTTGCTGTACCGAGTGCCACCCTGGCCCTCTCGTGTCGTGCCGCGTGGCCCTCGGCAGCGGCAGTGCGCCCTCGCGGGTGCCCTCTTGCCTTCGGTCTCGGCTGCCCGTTCCCCAGGTGACCCAGCGTTGTCGGAGGATCTGCTGTCGGAGGCGCTGGGCGAGACCGCGGACAGCTGGCAGGCGGACCACCTGCGCCGCGCCCTCGCGTCCTGACCCCTTCCGGTGCACCAGGGTGCGGCGCGCTGGGCGCCGCCGGCTGGGAGGAAGGAGAAGCGCTCGGAGGAAGGAGAGGCGGCACCATCAGCAGCATCGGCGGTTCAAAGATGGGGCCCCGAGGGCGAGGGGCCTGCAGCAAGGGCCTCAAGCCATGCAAATTCAAGCTGTGGCCCCTTTCTTGCCCTTATGGCACCACCCCTCGGGGCCCCATCTTTGAACCGCCCAGAGCAAAGCCACACCACCGCGAGACCACCACGACCAGCAGAGCCACCACCACCAGCGGCATCGCCACCACCAGCTGGCTGTCCACGATGCCTCCCCGAGGTGGGTCTGGAGGTGTCTCGGGCGGGATGCCGAACGACAGCGACGCCACACCACCGCGAGAGGCCTTCGCTTCTCCTGGCGACAGTGGCGTTGGTGGCGCCCTTCCTTGCTCCTGCTCGGCGCCCTGGGGCGAGGCCGCCAGGCGCCGCGCGACGGGGTCAGGGGCAACGTCAGGGGGGCGGGGGAGGGGGGCGCATCGACCCCCAATCGCCGATTGATCGCCGGTGGGCGCCTGATCACCCAGCCCGCACAGGACCATGCGGATGTGCTGTCGAGGGCCTATCGCGGATCTATCGGCGATGTATCGCCGATTCCAGGTCGATGCTTCCCTTTGAGCCGCTCCCCCCCTATCCTTAGATGTTATTGAAAATGTTGGGGGGCGTCGTTTGTTTCAAGATCGGCGTTGTTTTACCATGTTTTTGGGACAGTTGTTTTTCCGTTTGGGGATTGCCGCCTCGCCGTGTTCGGTTCGTTTTGCGATCCGTGCTTTAAGTTATGTTTAACTGCAGTTGTTGTTTCTGCTGCCCGTCTCTGACAATTGATTCCTTTGTCGGGGCTCCGTTTTTCGTTTTGCTTTGGGTTGCCGTTGTATGCTCGTTTTGGGGCCCAGTGGGTGTCGTTTTCGTTCTGGTTTGGGTTGGAGTTGTTTTTGTTGTTGTGTTGGCCGACTGCGGAAAGTTGAACACGGGAACGAAACGCCCCCAGCGTCATTTCAGAGCAGCTCAGCCCCCGACGTTCCCCCTCACTGCGGGGCCAGCGGCCGAGCGGCTGGCCGAGCTCTGGGAGGTGACCTGCCACGACGCGCGGGGGGAGGCCTCGGCTCTGCGCAGCAGGCCCCGAGAGAGCAGCCCTGGGCTGCTCGCGCGGGCACTGGCGCGCAGGCGGTCTGCACGAGCGCGAGCGCGGCCGTGCGGCGGTGGCGAGCTCTCGGAGGCTCCTTGGCGGCCCTCTCCGGCCACCTCGGCGTCGGCGCGACGCTGCGGTGCAGCGCGCCGTCGGGCCGCGGCCTGAGGCTGGCGCTGGCGCCGGCGGTGCAGGTGACGAGCGACGGAAGAAAACTGGGCGGTCGGAGGTTCGTAGAGGGGGGGGTTATCCCAAGGTTGGGTGAGAGAACGAATCCGGCCGGATACAGACGTCTTTGGTCGGACCCCCACCTCTGCCCCTTTCCCATCTTTTTCGTGCCCCCGATGTCAGCGCCCTCTTCTGCCACCGCGTGAGGTCTTCTATATGCCATCGTGCGTGGGACCCTGTTCCCCTCGTCGCGCAGATGTTCTGCGCCCAGAGGGAGGCTTCGGCTTCGGCGTCGCACTCGCTGGCTCGGAGACGACGATATGGGGGGGAGCGAGATATGTGTGTAGGGGCGCCGATGGTCCGCTGGTCCCTGTCTTCGGCGAGGCCCCTGGGCTGTTCGCCCCCATCGACGCTGCCGAGAGGTGCAGCGCGCCGTGGGAGCAGCCAAGTGTTGCTCGCGAGGGCGCAGGCCACCCGGCGGAACGGCGTACGGTCGGACCAGGGTATAAGATCGAGGTCGGTTCGTGGAGGGTACCCCAATGTTCTTCGTGCCTGTCGGATGATCTTGGGCATCCCGGGGGGAGGGCACCCTCGAGTAATCGTATGGTTTAGGGTGCTTTGGCCGGCGGAGGGCCTCATGTTCTTGGAGGATGCTTTTCTGTCCAGGGTCCGATAGTAAACATAAGCGATCGGAGGTCCGCGCGAATTTCTCGGGTCGGCGCTGGCTCCCCCTCTCCACAGGCCCTGGGCGGTGCCAGCGCCGTCCCTGGAGCGCCCCGCGCGCCGAGGGAAGAGGTGGTGGAGGGAGCAGCCGGCCCCGACCCGAGGCATCCGCGCGGGCCTCCGGGAAGGTGATGTGTCCTGCCGGAGCTGCCGCGCGAGGAGGACGGTGACCTCCAGGGGCAGTTGGCGACCAGAGCTGCGGAAGGCGAGATCCTCAGGACCATGGGCATCGAGGCCGTCCACGAGAATTGAGAACGCTCGGGCCGCGCTGCACGGCTGCCGGATCAGGGCCAGCCGGCATTATCAGTCTCTCTTTCTCTTGCACCCCTTTCTTCTCCTCGTCCCGTACTCGTCCTGTTGCTGCTTCTCCTTATCCTCCTCACCCTCCGTTTCCCCCCATCCCCATTCCCATCTCCCGCACGTCCCGCCCCACTTGCACCTACACTTGCTCTCTTCCCCGTCCCCCAAATCCTTCCTCCACCCTCCTGTTCCACTTCATTCTCATCATCGTCGATCATCATTGGCAGCGTTGTCGTCATCCGTCTGTGACCTTTTTCCTGATGCGAGGAGGAGTCCACGATTCTTCCTGTCCTGCTTCTCACCATCAGGTTGGTGTCTTGTCTCGCCCTTGCCCTTGTTGAGCTTCTCCTTGCCTTTCGGGGTCCAGTTGTCGGGCTCGTTGTCGTCCTGTGCGGTCTTTCCTTCACCGCTGTAGTTGTTGCCCTTGCCGCTGTGGCTCGGGCCCCAGTTTTTGTCGGGGTGCTCCTTGGCCCACTGGTCCGTCCAAGTGTGGTTCTTCCCGCGTGCGAGGCCCGCTGCAATTGCCGGTGTGGTGGGTCTCGGCGTCGTTGGTTTGCTTCGTGGGCGGCTCGATGTTGTCCTCCACGGTGGCAGTGCCGTTCCCGATCCGCTCGCACTTTCACTCCACGGCGTCGCCATGGTTGGAACTTGAGGTTAGTGTCGAGGTGGCTGCTGTGCACTGTGGTGCGCAGCATGGAGCTGCGTGCTGTGTAGAGCTGGTGCTGGATGCTGTGGTCTAGAAGCTTCCGTGCAGCGGCGACTCGTAGCAGTACTCGAGCTTGAGCTCGCTGTTCGCGTAGCCGACCGTACCAGGCTGGTTTGGTCGACGACGTCGTGGAGTCCTGAGGGGAAGGATGAAGTCGAAATGGAATGAAGAAGGTGTGTTTTGGAAATGGTTTTTAAAGTGAGTGGTAAGTATGACGGGTTTACGGTCGAGGTTGGCCCCCTAGGGTTGGCATTGCCGCGGGTTTCTGAGCCCGAGGCTGTCATCCGCCTCCTCGTCCTCCTCCCTCCTCGGCCTCGCCCTGCATTCTGAACGTCGTTCTTCCCTTCCCCATCTTCCTCCTCTTTTGCAATACCCATGTCTCCTCTGTCCTCCCCTTGTCCTCCTCCACAATCTCTCCTTCCCCTACCTCCTCGTGCCTCCCCCTATCCATCCTCTCTCCCCCGCATGTCCCACAAATCCCACAGGTGTCGCAAGTCTCACCACACAGCTTGCACCACACAGCTTGCACCACAGGTTGCACAGGTGCCGCCAAATAGCGTGCACCGTAGTGGCACATAGCTTACACGATTTCGCTTGCACCGCTTGCACCACATGGCTTGCACCATGTTGTAGCTTCCAGCACACAGTTTACACCACAGGAACAACACCACAAACACCTACACCACACATATGGTACTATACATCGCACAACACATAGCTAATCACATAGATTGCACATCGAGAGTTCATGAATTTACTGTCTGGGGTCTACACTGGGCAAGATGTTTTCAATCGTGGCGCTTCGTTTACTCAATCCCAGCATGCAGGGATATGCTCCTGGCCCTGCGGCCCTCAGATGCTGCTCCGGGACGAAGCGTCGTCCCGAGGGCAGGGGTCGAGACTTCCCGGGCTCGCAGGTGTACGTCAAGATCTCTGTGTCGTTCATCGGAGGTTGCGCTTGCTTGTGGCAAGAGGCTCGGGGGATCCCTCCCCCCCCGACAGGGGTCGGCCTCACCTCGTCGGCGCACCGCGCTGGGGGCTGCGGCAACCCGGGCGCGCGGCGTTCGCCCGCGACGGGGCTCGGCTCGAGGTCGTCGGCGGGGGCGGCGTTCTCACGGCGCCCCATACGAAGCGCAGGGGTGCCCAGCGGAGCGTGTCCCTGGTGCGGCAGGCCAGGAGCCACATCGCACGACGACGAAGACGACGACGAGGAAGGCGACGATGACATCAAACACGACGTCGGGGACGACTAGGACGACAAGGACGGTGGGGTCGACGACGACAACGTCATCGCTACGCACTCCCATCCTCCCCAGGGTACTCTCGGCCTCCTATTCTCGTTGGAGTGGGGGTAGGGGGAGAAGCGGAGGTTTGCGAACGTGTTTGTTCTTGTCTGCCCCTCTTGGGCCTCTGGAGACAGGGGGAGGGGGAGGAGGTGGAGCTCACACCACCCAGAGTGCTAAAGACCAGCGCTTCATGCCTGCGGAGCTAGGAAGACACTTGGTCATCTTGTCTGCCGAGGGGTATGGGACAAGGGCTTCGCAGCACTGATAGCACCAATGGTTGCTTAGGGAGTTCCATTGGTACCGACATGCCGAGCAACTGATATACATGCCGCTCTTGTCCTTACCTTTGCCACACGCCCTGCCCCCTTGGCGCCATTGCGACCCGCGGTCTGTGAACAGACAAGGCCGCGAGATTGCTCGCACACTGAAGGTCTGCAGGTGGTACGCTAGGGCAAACCAGGCACCTCAAGATGGATGGTCTGGGCGCGGACTAGCGGTATCCACTTCGTTCGCACGGGAACGTTCGATTTTGGGCCACAATGGCTACAGAGAGGGAGGAGGGAGGAGTGAGAGGAAGGATGTGGGAGGAGGAGGAGGAGGAGGAGGAGGAGGAGGAGGAGGGAGGAGGAGGAGGAGGAGGAGGAGGAGGAGGAGGAGGAGAGGAGGAGGGAGGAGGAGGAGGAGGAGGAGGAGGAGGAGGAGGAGGAGGAGGAGGAGGAGGAGGAGGGAGGAGGAGGAGGAGGAGGAGGAGGAGGAGGAGGGAGGCGGAGGAGGAGGAGGAGGAGGGAGGAGGAGGAGGAGGAGGGAGGGGGAGGAGGAGGAGGACGAGGTGGACGGAGGAGGAGGGGAGGAGGACGAGGAGGAGGAGGAGGAGGAGGAGGAGGTGTTGGAGGAGGAGGAGCGAGGAGCGAGGAGCGAGGAGGAGGAGGAGGAGGAGCAAGAAGCATGGAGGAAGGGGGGCGGTGGCAAAGCGAGGAGCAGCGGGCAAGGGATGAAAAGAAATGTTTCTGAGTCAAAGCGAGCTAGATCCACGCCGTCTCGGTCGCCCGGTCGGTGGCGCGAGCACGGGGCCGAGGTTTTTCGTGACCAACAACTCGACGAAGAGCCGGAGAGGCTATCAGTCGAAGTTCTCGTCGCTCGGCCTGCACGTCGAGCCAGAGGAGGAGGGGCCAGTCGCGCGCGAGCCCTGATTTGAGCAAGAGGAGGAGGGGCATGGCCAGGATGAGGAGAAATCGACCCGGCGCCTTCCGGCAAGTCGGAGAGTTCTGGGCGCGGGGGCCAGTCGCTCCCGAGTGCGAGCAGGCGGAGGCGGGGAGCGGGGGATGGGGGCGGGGCAGGCCAGAATGAGGATGATGAGTCGTTCTGGAGCGCTCCGCCCTCTCAGGGCGCCATGGGGCGCTCTGGCACGGCCGCGGCGCCCGATGCATCTTCCAGGCCCGCTGGCGCTCAGAGATCCCCCAGCTGTCCGTGCCCGATCTTGTGCGTCCCCTGCCCTCGTCTTGGCCAGACGTCGCTCGCCTGAGCTCTCTCTCTCTCTCTCTCGCGGTCTGGGTTTATTTTTTTTCTTGGGCGGTCCCCACTTCAGGCGCGGCGGCTGTCTCGTCAGTGTGTTGCTCAACAGTGCTGTGGTGCGTGTGGGCGCTGATTCTGAGTTATGCAAGTGTACGTGCGTATGTGCTTCAGAGGGCATTCGTGAGTTGAATGTGGAGTATAGTGGGCGCGTGAGTAGGGCGTCGTGTTGACTGCTACATGTGCTGTCGTGTGTGATTTTCGCGTGCGTTGTATGATGGCGTGGTCTGCGCATCGTGTTTTTTGCTGTGTGCTGCGTGTTGTGTCTTACGGGTGTGGTGTGTGTGTGTGTCTGTGTGTGTGGGTGGGTGGGTGGGTGGGTGGGTGGGTGTGCGTGCGTGCGTGCGTACGTGCGTGCGTGCGTGCGTGCGTGTGTGCGTGCGTGCGTGCGTGTTGCGTGCGTGCGTGCGTGCGTGCGTGCGTGCGTGCGTGCGTGCGTGCGTGCGTGCGTGCGTGCGTGCGTGCGTGCGTGCGTGCGTGCGTGCGTGTGTATTGTGTGTGGTTGGTGCGTTATGTTGGATGTTGACGTGTGTGTGTGTGTGTGTGTGTGCGTGTGTGTGTGTATGTGTGTGTGTGTGTTTGTGTGCGTGTGCGTGTGCGTGTGCGTGTGCGCGTGCGTGTGCGTGTGCGCGTGCGTGTGCGTGTGCGTGTGTGTGCGTGTGTGTGTGCGTGTGTGTGTGTGTGCGTGTGCGTGTGTGTGTGGGGGCGTGTGCGGTGTGCGGTGTGCGTGTACAGTGTGCGTGTGCGCGTGCGTGCGTGCATGTGTGCGTGCGTGCGTGTGCGTGGTGTGCGTGGTGTGTGTGTGTGTGTGTCTGTGTGTGTCTGTGTTTGTGTCGGTGTCGGTGCCTGTGTCTGTGTCTGTGCCAGCGTCTCTCTGTGTGTGGTGTGTGTGTGTGCGTGGTGTGGTGTGATGTGTGTGTGTGTGGTGGTGTGTTGGTGTGTGTGTGCGTATGCGTGTGAGTGTGCGTGTGCGTGTGCGTGTGCGTGTTCGCATTCGTGCGCGTGTGCGTGTGCGTGGGTGTGGATGTGTGTGTGTGAATGTGTGTGAATGTGTGTGTGTGTGTGTCTTGAGTGTGGTGTGTTGTGTTGTGCTGTGTTGTGGTGTGGTGCGGCGTGGTGTGGTGTGGTGTGGTGTGGTATGGTGTGGTGTGTGTGGTGTGGTGTGGTTTGGGGTGGGGTGGTGTGGTGTGGTGTGGTGTGTGTGCGTGTGTGCGTGCGTGCGTGCGTGCGTGCGTGAGGGCGTGAGGGCGTGCGTGCGTGCGTGCGTGCGTGCGTGCGTGCGTGTGTGTGTGTGTGTGTGTGTGTCTGTGTGTGTGTGTCTGTTCTGTCTGTGAGTCTGTGTGCCTGTCTGTTCTGAGTGTGTGTGTCTGTGTGTCTGTGTGTCTGTGTGTCTGTGTGTCTGTGTGTCTGTGTGTCTGCGTGCGCGCGTGCGCGTGCGCGTGCGCGTGCGCGTGCGCGTGCGGGTGCGCGTGTGCGTGTGCGTGTGCGTGTGCGTGTGCGTGCGCGTGCGCGTGCGCGTGCTCGTGCGCGTGCGCGTGCGCGTGCGCGTGCGCGTGCGCGTGCGCGTGCGCGCGCACGCACGTACGCGCGTGCGCGTGCGCGTGTGCGTGTGCGTGTGCGTGCGTGCGTGTGCGCGCATGCGTGCGTGCGTGCGTGTGTATGTGTGTGTGCGTTGTTTGATGCGTTGTGTGGGAGTTGTGTGTGTCTGTGTGTGTCTTGTGTGTTCTCGCGTGTGCTTGCAAGTATACTAGAGTGATGGTAAGCGTGTCTGTCAAGCTAGCCAGGTCGAGCGAGTCAGAGGGTTCCGCTGTTCCGCCGTTGCCCATCCCCCTCCCCACAACATCATAATCAGTTGTGGCACAACTTGACATTGGGGTTGGAACGCGTTCCCACCTCGCAAACGGAAGGCGTCCGCGCGCGGCCCTGCTCCCGACGATTTGGCGAAGCGAAATCGACGCGGAACGCGCAGAGCTGGGAGTGGCAGAGCCTCCGACGCGCACACCGAAGACGAATCATTCGCCGCGCTGACACAGCACTGCTACCAATGCTGACAACTGCGCGGCGCTTGGGCGAGGTCGGCAGTTCGCCCGCTCTCGCGCGACCCCGATGCCGCTGTCGCTTTCACGCTATTCGGCGATACAGCCATGCGCCGCGCCCGCGCGGGACACCACTTCCGAGCGAAATGCGCACGGAGCTTCGGCGAAGGCGACAGGTCGCCCACCCGCGCGGGCCGCAAAAAAATGGCGAGTGAATGATTTGCGTCGCGCCGAGGCGGGAAAGCCACATTCAGGCGACACTTGTGCGGGGCCGAAGCGATACCCACAGTTTCGCCTGTTCGCTCGTCGATGAAAAATGTGAGTCGCCCCCGAGCGCGATCAAAAGGCAGTAGAACAATTAGCGCGGCGCCTAGGCGAGAGGGAAAAATGTTGGCCTTTTCCGTGGGATGTGCGCCCCGTCCCGCTCCTGCCACGCGTTGTGCAACGTGGACGACGGAATGCCCATGTTGAGACCGAAACCGTAGGCTTCGTATTGTTTCAAGTCGGATGGAGCCCCGCAGGTTTGACCCCTATCGGCCGGCTGCGGTGGAGAGTCGGAGTATATTCGAACAAGGAATACAGAGGTGTGTCCGACCCACCCAAAGCGCAACGTCCTTCAGTCAGAGCCCAAACAGCAGACCGAGGGTCGATCACATGCGCAACAAGACCCCAAGCTGAGCACAAGGAGCCCACACCCCAGCCAGCATGCCGCAAGGCTGAAGCCGCAAAGGCTCGGAGAAACGCAGGTCCGCCAGCAGCCGTTCCCTCGTCCTGCGCCGACCGCGCTTGGCAAGGGGACGTAACAGCCGTTGACGTAACAGCCGCAGCGACGGTACACAAAGTTTTAGAAAAGTGTGATAATCTCGTGGCCCTGATCACGCACGCCTCCACCCTCCACCCCAGGCTCACCCCCCACTCTGTGTGATGTGTGTGTGTTGGTGTGTGTGTGTGTTGGTGTGCGTGTGTGTGTGTGTGTGTTGATGTGTGTGTGTGTGTGTGTGTGTTGGTGTGTGTGATGGTGTGTGTGTGTGTTGGTGTGTGTGTGTTGGTGTGTGTGTGCGTGTGTGTGTGCGCCCGCTTGCGCGGGCCTGTGTTGGCATGCTCTCTCCGCAGCCACTTGGCTCTAACAGTAGGAGGGATTTGCATTAGCCTCTGCGCTCAAAGTGAAATGGACGGGAGAGAGCTGGAGCTGAGCACAGGCAAGAGTTTGAGCGACTCGGAGTCTGACCTTCTCGATAGCGACGGTCGAGAAGCGCAAGTTCCATCTCCGATTCATTCGTGCCGCTTCGCGGCGGCACGCGTTTGGTCAGACAGGGACAGGGCGGGAAGGTAATTGGACGCGGGACGGCCGCCTGAAGACCAGAATTTGATGCATGCCTTCGCCGCCGTCGTCGATCAAGGTTTTGGCTCGTGCTGACCCCTTCGGAGCCTCGGGAGGTCTCCAGGGACCACCGGAGGGCGGAGAGCTCAACCCCGGAATCGGCCCCAAACCCGGAACCCGCTCGGTCGAAATCCGGAATCGGCCTCAACCGCGAACCCCAGAATTCGCCTCGAAACCCGGAATTCGCGTCGAAACCCAGAATTCCGTAGAAACGCGAAATTCGGAATTTCGATCGGTTAAATCGGGAATTTTTGCTCCTTTCTCGTCTCCATCTTTTCCGCTCGCCCTCCGTACTTCCTCTCCGCGGCCCCCCTCCACGGGGCCAGATCTCCGACATCGTGAAGATTGCGACTGGAGGTTTGCCGCCGTTTTCGCTCCCGTGGGGTCCTCGACGGGCCTGGCTCGTCAGAAAACGACCCAGGACGAACATTTGCCTCTAGTGAAAGGGTCTCGGGGCTTCGCGGGGATCCCGCCGCCACGTGCCGAGTAGAGCAGTCGTTTCATTTCGCTCCCGCGCGCTTCAGCGTGGCGCGTCGAGCGGAGCAGCTTCTTTTCGCCCCGTGGCGTCGCCGCTCCGCGCGCCCATCGGCCCGCGCAGGCGTGCCTAGAGTAGAGTAGTAGTTTTACGTCGCCCCTACACCTTAGGCGATGCTTAAGAAAACTAAAGTTTTCGGCCAGAGTCTCGATTATTCTTAACGTTTCAATGTAAATCCTAAGACTTTGATAGAAATTTGGGGTTTTTATTCAAGTTCTGAGACCATGAATTTCTTAACCCATGATTTCTTAACCAATTCGCGTGGTGTACGTTGCCGCTCGACGTGTCGAAGGGAGCAGTTCTTTTTCCGCCCCGTGGCGTTGCCGCTCCGCGCGCCCACCGGCCCGCGCAGGCCTGCCGCAGAGTTGAGAACTCTGAGTGTGTCAGTGCGGCCGATCCGCGCAGAAGATTTCAACATCACGGCATCGGGTGGAGCATTGTCTTCGCCCAGCTCCCGAGGCGCTGCCACCGAGGGTTCTCGTTTAGTTGGTAAGCTTTTGTCCCCGGTGCCGTGTTGGGGAAGGGCTGGCGGAATTCTTCCTTGTTGAATATCGAGGTCGGGACGGGCTGGCGGAATCATGTGTGAGGACGTTCCGAGCGAAACGTTGGTTTTTGAAAGACCGATCTAAAAATACATGTAAAGTACATATGTTGGTCTCTCGCGGATGTCTCGAAACGCTTATTTTGCAGAGTTGGTTGAGGACTTCTCGAGAGACACGTTTGTTCTGTGTTATACCTTGTTCCTTTCCTGGGGATCAGAATTCAGAGGATGTCTCAGGTGAAATCCTTGTTTTCACGTGCCCAGGGCTTGAGATGTCACGACCGAGACGCTTGGTTTCACGCGTCCAGGCCGCCCAGGCAGGTGTATAGCATGAGGAGTTGTCGAGGATGTCTCTGGCGAGACGCTCGTTTTCACGCGTCCAGGTCGCACAGGCAGATGTGTAGCATGAGGATGTGTTGAGGATGTCTCGAGCCAGACGCTTGGTTTCACGTTTCCAGGTCGCCCAGGCGAAAGTCTAGCATGAGGATGTGTTGAGATGGTCTTAAGCAAGACGCTTGTTTTCACGTGTCCAGGTCGCCCAGGCGGGTGTCGGACATGAAGATGTGTTGAGGATGTTCCGAGCGAGACGCTTGCTTTCTCGTGTCCAGGTCGCCCAGGCGGATGGTTAGCATGAGGATGTGTTGAGGATCTGTCGAGCGAAACGCTTGTTTTCACTTGTCCAGGTCGCCCAGGCGGATGATTAGCAAGAGGACGTGGGCAAGATGCTTCGAGCGAAACGCTTGTTTTCACGCGTCCAGTTCGCCCAGGCAGATGACTATCATGAGGAGGTGTTGGGAACCTGTCGAGCGAGACGCTTGGTTTCACGTGTCCAGGTCACCCAGGCGGATGTCTAACATGAGGATGTGTTGAGGATGTCTCGAGCGAGACGCTTGTTTCCACGTGTCCAGGTCATGGAGCGTCCCCTGGCGCGCTGGCGCGTCCCCTGGCGTGTCCCTTGCGACGTTCTGGCGTGACGTACCCTGGCACGTCCCCCATCGCGTTACTCGGCGTGGCATGTTTCCTGGCTCGTCCTCTGCCGCGTGCCCTCGCTCGTCCCCAGGGGTTTCCCCTGCCCGTTCCGTGGCGCGCCCCTTGCAGCGTCCCTTGGCATGATGTCCTCTGGCCGCCCCATGGCACGCGCCTTGGCACGTCCCGTGGCAGATCCCTGACACGTCCAGGGCACGTCCCCTGGTACGTCCCCCGACACGCCCCCTGGCGCATCCCCTATTGCGCCCCTGGAACATCCTGTGGCGTGTCCGTGAGCCTGTGCCCCGTGTCGTGTCGTTCCTTTTCGGAGTTGAGTCGGATTTTGAGGTCTTGTTGATTGAACGTGCTGCACGTTTCCACTTCAACTAGTTGTGGAGCAGCTACTATGTGCTCAGGCAGCTCGAGCTTAAGATCCAGATCAGTTCGTTCTAGACTCGGATCCAAAGGAAGATTCGACCCACAACGCTATAGAGCACAATCGCGGCATAGCACATCGCGAGTCAGCACCGCGCAGTACAGCACAGCCTTGGGCACGATACATCAAGATCGATGCACTCTGCATTGCCATTGCCCGTCGCCTAATCAAGTGTCTTGAAAACGTTGCCATGCCTCACATTATCATATTCCTTTCCGGGGTCGTGCAGGGGATCCTTGTGGCCCGTCGTGGAGGCATTCTGGGCCGTCTCGGATGTCCTGGGGAGATGTGGAGCTGTTGTGGAATGCATTCAGGGTGTCTGAGAGAGGCGACGGGGGCTGGAAATGGAAGCCCCGAGGCGCGAGAGTAGCGCCGGCGAGTTCCCAGACTCCCCTGCGCTTCCCTCCGCGGCCCCTCTTCAACGAGGATGCTGGACCCCAGGGGAGGGGGAAGGCTCGTAGAAAGCCATCACGGGGGACATTCCGAGCCAACCCCGTCACGCGCGGCACTTGGCATCCCCAGGATCCTGAAGGCAGGTGTGTGTTGCAGGGCTTCTGAGGGGCCTGTTGGTGGCTGTCGGGGGCCTTTTCGGACCACCTGAAGCGCTTCTCAGGGGTCCCTTCGGGGCCGCTTGGATACATGTCGGGGCTCTTGGGGGCCATCTTGTGGAAAAAAGCCCCCGAGGAGCCTATCGAGGTCGTCCTCAATGCCCCTCTTGTTCGGCCTTTGGGGCCGTCTTTGGGGGCCTCTTGGGCCGTCTTGAAGGATTCTGGGGCCGCGTCCAGGCTCTCTGGGGTACCTTTTTGGCTGACGTGGTCCGTTTGGGAAGCCTCCGATGGTGGCTTTGAGCTTTCGGATGCCCGGAGGGGCGAGAACGCGAACATCATCAAACAACATACGGGGAACAGTGTTCTTCGCCTCCGGATCCGCTGCTGGGGGTCCTCCTCGAGCCGTGGTGCGGCGTGCTATAGGAGCTTCTTGGGGAGTCCCAAGACCATCTTGCGTGCTCTGGAGGGTGTTCGGATGCGTCGCCGCCTTTCTGAAGCCGTCTGGGAAGGCATTCTGGGCAGCGTGGAGGCGGCGAAGGCTACATTTGGAGGCTCCGAGGGCCTGGGAGAAGCGCCGGCGAGTTCCTGGACCATCTCTCACGCCTGTTCACCCTCGGCAAGTGGGGGTCGGCGGATGTTTCGCCTCCCCAGGCGTTGCCATTTGACGAGTTGGAGGGGAGTCGTGTTTTTTGTCCGCTCCTCGTGACGAGTAAGTAGAGTAGCAGTTTTGTGTCGCTTCCTGTGCGTTGCCCCGTGGCGCGTAGAACGGAGCAGTTGCTTTTCCGCCTCATGGCGTTTCCGCTCCGCGCGCCCATTGGCCCGCGCAGGCCTGCCCCAGAGTTGCTCCCTTCGAGTGTGTCAGGACTGCCGATCCGCGCGGAAGGTGTCCAAGTCAGGGTGTGCAGTGGACAACCATTGAAAAACCGGTGCAAGGGAATTGCGCCATTATCGTCTCTTTCGCGGGCTTTGAGGAGGTCCGGAGGAGTGGGTTGTCACGCGCAACCCGTCGAGATCTCGCGGCGCCATAAAACGCTGCGAATTGCGCAAGTGACGTCACTTTCGCGGGTGGGGTTTTCTGCACACCCCGTCGAGATCTCGCGGCTCCCCAGAGGGGCTGCGAACTGCGCAATTGTCGGCGCTCACGTGGGCTCCTGGGAGGTCCAGCGGAGAGGGGTGTCACGCAAACTTCGTCGAGACCTCGCGGCTCTCTTGGAATTCCAGTTCTGGGCGTGAAGTTCCGTTTCTGGGCTCCCTCTTTTTGGTTGGAATGGATTCTGGGCGTGGATTGCCGGAGATCCGGATTCGGGCTCGCGATTCTGGGCTTTGCCGGAATGGATTCCAGATTTCGCTTGTTTTGGAATTCGGGGGATCGCTCAGAAAAATTTCAGAATTCGCTTGCCGACCCTTGCGGAGACCTGCGGAGACCTTGAGACCTGGTATCCCCCCATGGGTACACAGACGAAGCACGCTTTCACCCACAGTTTGCTATGCAAACAGTTGCGAGTCTCGTGTCCGATGCATCCAGTCGCGAGTCTCGTTGTCACAGCTTGTTATTGATCTAGCCGCATAGCGTTGCATTGCATATGGCGCGTTCCAAGGAGGGCCTCGTCTTCGAGGAGCCGGCAAATTGGCATCTCTTCCTCGGCGGAAGGCCGCGAAAGCCAGCGGAAGTAAAACGAGGGCGGCTCCGCCAGCGGAAGTTGATGGAAGGCCAGCGGAAGCCGGTGGAAGTGACAAAGGTTTCCCCGAGAGATGACAAGATGTTTAGATTCAGGGTTTCCGGACCGGAGACATCCGTTTCCCGTGCGAGTCCATCAGATGGGCGTCACCGTATCTAGGTGCCGACCTGGAGGATCACACCAGTCTCTGGATGCACATCTCTAAGATCGTCATATGCCTGGGCTGACCAACCTCAGGGTTACGAATGGCCTTGGGGCCGGTTGTCTCGTGGCCCGGCCGTGCCCCCCCACGGAGGGGGCCCGCCGATCACCAGTGGGCGCTGCTGGGGTGCGTGGTTGTCCTGGCGCTCGCGTGCGTCCTCGGCGTGGCCCGGCTGTTCAGGAGCGAGGGGGGAGGGCCTCGGGGCGTCGGCTGGACGTAAGGAGTGGCCTTTCGCCGGAGTGGCCTTCGGTGCGGGCCCCCCCAAACAGCCGCACCCCAAGGGTCACTCTTACCCAGGGTCACTCTTGCGTGTGGCCGAGGGCGGCCGGGATCGAGGAGAGGAGGAGGAGGTCAGGGCGTCGAGGACGGGAACGAGGGCCCCTTTTTCCGACCTGCGCCACCCCCTCCTCCACGGGGTGGCGAAGGTATAGGAGCCGTCGTCGTCGTCGGCGGCGTTTCCTCGACGTCTCCTCGGCGAATCGACGAATCCGCCCTTCTGGACTGAGCCGCGCCCCGTTCGCCCGCCCCCCAGGCCACCCGCAGGGGCGCGAGGGCGGCCGTGTCCCCCGCGCGCCGCGGCCTTGTGAACGGCAGGCCGCTCTCCTGTGGGGGGAGGTTACCTCGGAACTGCCGGGGGCCCCTGGAGTTTCGGGACCTTCTCGGAGGCCTTCGGAGGCCATCGGAGGCGACAGCGCGCCTCGGGGACCTTTTCGGAGACCATCGGAGATTTTCGGAGGCCCTCGGAATCGGAGACCTCTTCGGAGGCCTTCGGAGGCCCACGGAGGCGAGAGCAGCAAGAGCGCGCTGGCTCGAGCGCCGTCCGCGAAAGAAAGCAGGAGACGGCCGCGAGGTCAGACGATTTAGCTTCCTGCAGAGTAGGCCCACATCCGAGGAGTTGTGGATATGAACAAATCTTGGCGGCGCACGGGTCGGAATCTCCCCCAAGCCCCAAACGTCTGGACAGAAACAAAAAAGACGGAGGTTGTGTGTCGGGTTCAGCCTGTTTGAAGCCGCTTTCGGGACCCATGGCAGCGCGCCAGGGGCGGCGCAGGAGGCGCCGCTCTGAAGTGTGTGGGTAGGGGGGACTGGTGCCGACCGTTGAACTCCGCGCGGACCTCCGAAAGTTCATGTACGCCACTCCCGATCAGATGATCTATCCCCCTATGTACCCCCCGCTTCCTCATCTACGCATCCTGGCATCGATTCCACTCGTCATCCCTAGTCTGTTCCCATCACATGATGAACTATGTGTCCTCTTCTTCCTTCCTCCCCTCCTCAAGGAGCATGCACGTTGGCGGCACGGCCTCCGACGAGTGGCTGCCGCGAGGCTACTGCGAGGAGCGGTCGGCGATCGACATGCTAGACGTCCCCGCGTCTGATCTCGTCACGGAGATGACATTCCTGGAGAAAGCCAGGCCGCGTCGTGCCCTTCCTGTTTGTGTTCCTCATCATGTTTGTTTGTTTTTTCTCCTCCGCGCTCCTCCTCCTCCTCCTCCTCCTCCTCCTCCTCCTCCTCCTCGTCATCATCATCATCATCATCATCAGTAGCCATTTTGGCTCAAGGTGTTTGTGTCCCTCGGGCAGGAAACGGATACCTCTAGTCCGAGGCCAGCTCCAGTCCTAGGCAATCCCAGTCGAGCTGCGCGCTGCTGGGGCCAAGAGACCACTTTCCTCCGACCTCCGCGCAAAGCCCAGGTCGGGTAAGCTGAGGCCTTTCCAGTTCCTGGCCTGGCGCTGTCCGGATGGGCGGCAGACGCAGTACGAAGAAGTCGATCAAGCATGTTCGGCGTTCTACTACTCCCGGCGCTCCGTCCGACTGCTCGGTTTGCAGCTCGGCTCGTGGTGATCGTCGCGATCGTCGTGCTGACCATCGGCTACCTTCGTGTTCGGATGCTGCGAGTTCGCGTCGCTCCCGCAGCGCCGTCCGCAGTGCAGGTCGTGCCCCTGCGGACAGCTTGCTGTCCCGTGACGACCTGGGGGCGCTGGAGCTATGCCCGACTGTCCCCGACAGTCAGCAGGTCGCGGTCTCGGAGGCGCGCGGCTCGAACGTCGGCGCTCAGCCTGAGCGCGAGCGAGTTGCCAGCGCCCCTGGGACGCTTGTGGTGGGGTTCCCCACGCCGCCTGGCGCCGCCGCTGATGCCTCGCCAGGATGGGGGCCTGGACAGGACCTGTGGGCTCGCCATCTTCGGGGGATCTCTGCTGAGTTGCCCCCATTTCTTCCTGGCGGCCCTGCGGCGGCGGCGGATGGCAGCGACCCCTTTCGGCATGTCCGCGACGCTCGCGCACTTCAAGGAAGACATCATCGCGGAGATGGCTCGAGCTTCGGCCGACTCCATCGCCAAGATGATGCGCACGGAGCTCCCGCGGACCATCACGAATGTGGTGCAGCCCCCTCTTTGCCCAGCTCGACGAGTCGATGCAGCAGCGCTTCAGGGCCCAGGAGCTCCGCATGGTTGACGTCGAGAACTGATGGGCCTGGCCGAGACGGGCTGCGCCGAGGGAGCCCATCGCCAGGACCGCAGAGCGGCAGCGAGCGACTGACCCTGGCATCTTCGTTCTCACGGCACGAAAGGACATCGGCAATATCTTGGTTGCGGATGCGTTCCGCGATTGGACGGTTGCTTGAAACTATGAGGCTGGGAAGGATTATGAGTTGGAGGGCGTGGGGCTCGCCCGCAGCTTCATCCTTAGCTTCAAGGGCCTCGCGGTCACCTGTGGTTCACGCGCTCGGCAAGCTCATGGTCTTCTTCGCGACGCTCACGGCGTCTGGTGGCATTTTGCTGTTGCGATGCCTGGTGGGCGTCGCATCCCCTTCAACGTCAGCGTTGATCGCAACAGTTTCGAGATCTCGAGGGGGCGCAACACTAAGAAGCTGCGCGGAAAGCTACAGGAGCACCTCGGGAAACGCGTTCTCATGGACATGGAGTGGAGTGGGCAACACCTTCCTCAGCTTTGAAATGTTGGTGTTGAACAGCCAGAGCTGCTGCGCCTTCCTTCAGCACCATTCGCACGTGCTTCGTCGCAAAGCCGAGGTTATACGATCGTTGCGCTCCCCCGCCTACCATCAAGGCACCTCAAGAGATGCACGGCCCTGCCGCTGCTGTGGTCATATTCGGGGAGTGACTGCAGTTTTTGGCTCCTTTGGATGCGGCGGCGCATGCGCGCTGATTCCCAAGTCAGCACTGGTTGTTGTCCAGATCTCGCCTATAGATGTTGCCGCGGGCAGGGCCCTCTGTCTCAATCTGTTTCATCTACGTTCTGGCTTCTTCTGGCACCACTGGAACACGCGCAATCACGATTCTGAGGCGAGTAATTTCCGCGGTTGTTTGCAAGCGTTGCATGAGCAACTCGCCCTGGTCAAGAACTATCCCATGATGACAGGCCCCTCGATGATCGGCGACTTCAATATTGCTGACGAGGAGGTGGGCTACTCCTCCGCGGAGATCATCTACGCGCGAGGCCGACGTCGGCAACCTGGCGCTGGCTTCGCTGCCCGCACCTGTGCCGGCAGGCGGGCGCGACCTGGCCAGACGCGACGGCGGGCGCTCTTTCGGCAGATGTCGGAGCTCGGCGCGCCTGGCCTCAGCCACTCCCATGTGGGCACCAGAACGAGCGCGCGCGTCGACAGACGCTTCACCGCGACGCCGCCTCGGCTCTTGCGCCAGCTCTGGCAATGCGCGCGGCGCTGCGGCGAGCCGCCAGAGCTCCGCGGTGCGACGCCGGCTGGCCATGCGCCGCTACCGATCCCATGGCAGTCGCGAAGACGGGACTCCGCAAAGCCGACCTGCAGGAAGATCCCGAGCGGCATCTTCACGGACGAACTCGCCCCCTCTCCTGGAAGAGTGCGCGCGCATCGCCGGGATCGGCGACTTCGGCGTGCCGGGCGGAGCTCCGCGATCGGCGCCTGCGGGGCAGGAGCTGGCGACTCGCTGCCGGCGGGGGGCGGCGCGCGCGGCTCGCGACCTGCAGCTGCGCGATCGTCCGAGGACGCGCGGGGGCCGCTCGAGGATTCTTCGTTTTCTGGCGCGCGCTGTCCGGCGCAAGGGTGCTCGCGTGGGCAACATCCCCCGGCAACGGCGCCAGTGGCTTCGCGTCTTCTTCTCGGTCGACGCGCTGCCCCCGCCCGTCGCCCCCGCCTCTCCCGACGCCTTCGCGCGCGCCCACTCGGACCTGCAGCCCCGGGAGGCCCGGGCCGGAACCGCGCGGCAGAGGGCCGAGGGCGCCTCGCGGGCGCCTGGGCGCCAGACGCGTCTACGCGCGCATTCGAGGGCCCTCCGCGGGCGAGCGCAGAAGGTCTGCTCTCCGTTCAGCCGTAGACGCCATCTGGCGGGGGCGGCGGAGGGCGGGGCGGGCGCAGCTCAGACCTCTGCGGAGGGCCAGGCAGCGGCTCTTCGCGAATACGGGGCCCCATTTCTGACAAACAGCTATCGGTTCCTCGGCGGGGCCAGAATTACTTTGCCCTTGAGAAGGACTTCTCGGATCCCCCTCCTCCCCCATCCCTCCCATCGCTCGGTCCGCTGTTTTATCCGCCGCGCTTTGCGCTCGGCGCCAGGCCCTGCTTCATGAGCTTTTTGCACATACGCACTCACGATGTCATTTCCAACTGATGTACAAGTTTGTTATAACATGCTTGTAACAGTTTGTAACAGTTCGAAGTAGTTGTAAATGCCGCAACACTTATACCTATTTGCACGACTTACACCTAGTTGTACTGGCGCTTAAGAGAACAAGTTGTAAGTAGTTAGGCTTGGCACATAGCATGACTTAGCTTGAGGCGCGTTTTGAAAACATAGAAAGTTAGGATGAGTTAGCCGGACTTAACTTGGAGCGTACAAATTGTCGCCGCTTTCCTTTGAAATCGACAACCCTCTAGGCGCGTGGGGGCCCAAAGTTGTTTTGTGTCGGGCTTCATCGGTTGGACCCCATCCACGATGGGGACTCACATGCCTGGGAACCCACCTGGAGCGGGCTGACGACCCGATGGCGGTCCGCGGATCACGCCCATCTGCCCCGATTGCGGGGCGGCGGTTTTGCCGTGTCGACGACTCACATGCTTGGGGACCCGATGGCGGTCCGCGGATCACGCCCATCTGCCCCGATTGCGGGGCGGCGGTTTTGCCGTGTCGACGACTCACATGCTTGGGGACCCGATGGCGGTCCGCGGATCACGCCCATCTGCCCCGATTGCGGGGCGGCGGTTTTGCCGTGTCGACGACTCACATGCTTGGGGACCCGATGGCGGTCCGCGGATCACGCCCATCTGCCCCGATTGCGGGGCGGCGGTTTTGCCGTGTCGTGCCGCGCCGTGCCCTTGTGGATGGGGTCCTCTGGACCCCGCCCCCCTTTCAATTGCATTTCTGTTTATGGACGGTTCGCCGCCTTGTGTAGGACCCTATGGGCGGAACCCCGTGGACGGGATCCATGATGGACGGGGCCCTCTGCATGGGCCCCCCCCGTTGCCATTGAGTTTCTGCTCAAGGACGGCTCGCCGCCTTGTCTGCGTTGGGCAACCCACGCTTCGCCAGCCCATGCGCGCAGACATCCAATGTCCAAGCGCGCTCGGCTGCACGTGCACAGCGATGAGTTCGCCAACGCCGCCGGGATGGGCATGGTCGCCGACAACCTTTCTCTCAGCTTGTCCGCTGCCGACGTCATAACGCGAAAACTGGCTGACACCGAAAAGAAAAAGAAAACACAACACGTGCTGGTATCTGGGCTTACGATGCAAACTTCGTTTGGCCATTTGATGAGAACGATCGATATCCCGTTAGATTGCGAAGATGGTGGCCCCTCATCATACAAACTGCTCTACATTGACCCTTGCGGCATGCTGGAAGAATTTTGTATTCGAAACCCTGGGTTTGCAGAGTTGCTTTGCACATCATGCCCGGATGGGAGATTCCCTTTAGCTTTGTATTCGGATGAATTGTGTGCTGGGAACCCTTTGAAGCCCGACGGTACGCGGATGTTGCAAGCTATTTACACGGGGGGCTCACGCCAACCCGCAGCCCCCAAAACAGAGGGAGGGCGAGGGGAAGGGAAGGACGACGAGGGGAGGAGGATACGGGAGCATAGGGGGAAGGGAAGCGAGGCAGGAGGACGGGGGAGGACGGACCTTAATGGAGACGTCGCAGTCCTACTTCTCTTTTACCCTCTCCTCCTCCTTATCTCCCTCACCCCTGTCTGCCCTCGCCCTCATTCGCCTGGCCTCCCCCTTTTGGGGGAGAGCGGACTGGACAATATCGACGCTCCCAGCTTGGTTTAAATGCAGAAGTTGCGGGTGGTTTACATTCACCTTCGTCCCAGTGAGTATCCAAGACCAGATCCTAGGTGGCCTCAGTTCTCTGATAAAGACAGCTCTGCAAGTGTTTTTTGCTGTTCACCAACCATCATTCAAAGTTGGTTTCGCCCTTCC